GCCGGGGCTGGGGGGAAGTGACCACGACCTGCTCACGCCGGGACCGCGTGAACTGGGGGCTCCGTCGCCTGGGTGCAGGGGAGGGCAGGCCTGGACTCGCAAGGTCCCACTTCGGGTGCACGCGAGAGTGAGGACCCGGAGCCCGGGGAGGTGTCCGCGTACTTTTGCGACATGACTCTTCCTTAGCGGTGTGGGTGGGTGCACAGCCTCTCTTCTAAGAGGCAGCTTGAGAAGGACCCCTACAGAGGCCATCCTAACTGAAAAATCACTCGTTTTTATTCGGAAGGGTCGTCATCTTCCCACAGGTGTGGGGGTCGGAGGGGAGAGGCCAGGGGGAGGGTTTCTGGTAAAGAACAGAGCATGTTTCCAGGCTCTGCATAAGGCAGTGTGTGCTTACTGACTGTGACAGGCTATTTCTTTCCAGCCCGAGTGGTCTTATTCACAGGTGCTTGCATCGTTAGGGTCACCTGAGAGATTACTCATTGAGGAATACCTTTTATGCACAGAGGTTGTGTGTGTGTGTGTCTATGTGTGGTCAATCTCTGTATCAGGGGACTGCCATTAAATCCAAATCGCCCCCTTTCCCACTTGAGAAGTGAAGTTGGTGGCTAGAGGGAGGTGAAGGTGGAAGCGGGTGTTGGTAAAAGTTTGTCTGCTGGTCCAAGATGTAAATGTTTTATGCTGTCCTCAAGTCATTATTTGCCACCTACCTGGATCTGGGGGTGCAACTCTACTGTGCCAGCTCACCTTATCATAGAAACAATTCAGGGTCAGAAAGGTGAAAGTGGTTTGGGTAAGAAGTTAGAGTGGAGGGTACTCTTGGAAGCCTGAGGCTAGTGGGATTGATTGTGACTAGAAATAAACATCGTTACCTTGGCTGGGGGGAGGGGGTTTTCTGATTTAGCTTTGGTTCTCCATATACTAGAGGTAGAAAGCAGCAGCAAAGGAGATCTTGGTAGGCCAAAGGGATTTAAGCAGAAAAAGGGGGAGGGCAGGGGGAGGAGGGGGAAACCACGCTGGCCAGAAAATCACAAAGGTCAGTGATGTGATCTTGCAACAGCCTGTCACAGTCAGTCGGGCTGAGCCCTGCAGGGAGGGACAGGGGGAAGAGCTATTTCAGGAATCAAATGTTTGAATATTTCAGTCACTGGAAATTTTAACAGTGATCTTTCTTTGGGGGTTTGAGGCAATTTTCCAGACAATTCAGTTAAAAAAAGGCCACAATAACAACCATTCTTTGTGTCGTTGGCTATTGGTAGTTCAAAGAATAGGATTGGTTTGTGCAGATTGGGCAAGGTTACCTAAATAGCTATTTAGGATTCTACATTTTTGTCTGTACACAAGCAGTCAAGGTGACAAGGGACCCAATAAGGATTATTCCTGGAGGATTGTATCCCCTGCTTATTATTCTTTCAACCTTGTCAGGCAGGAAAATCCAATAATATGAGACCAAGCTGAGATTAATATCGGTTTTGGCATTTTCTTTGAATCTTCCTTATTTTGGAGAAGTCTCCAAGAATTGGCAGAAACGATTTGTGAGCTTTCCCAAGATTTGTGAGTGTTTCTAGGAGAACATATGTGCACCTTACTATCAGGACTTTTACCTGGTTTCTGCTCTGAAGGTGAGTCAGTCCGGCTTACTCCAAAATTGACGTGTCAATAAGCATTTCCGGCGTTTCTGTAACTCAAAGACACAAACCACACAGTCTTTCAAGGTCAGCAGACTGTAATTTCTCTGAGTTCCCCTTTCTCGTGATTTGCGGTGGTTAGAGC